GGGCTGGGGATTCGAAACCGCCACCTTAGGTGTACGTGGCTGGCGCCTTAGCCAGTTGAGCTATAGGCGCCGAGCCAAACCCCTCTTCTTAAGTCCATTCTAGATGGGTTTCTATGAGTCTCCATTTCCACCAGGCCTCACCTTTGTCCTATGAAACTGTAGACTCTCAGTACAAAGGATGTCGCATTCCTCCTTTTCCACCCCACATGGACACTTGAACAGACGCTAACACAGTTTTGAACATCTCAAGGCTGCTTTACTAAAATGACGCTAGCCACCCTTAATGTGCCGGCCTAACAAAACAATCAATTGATCAGTCCATCAAAGAAAAGAAAACTCAAGGCTACCGAAAGAATTTAAAGTTTGCTCTAGCCTACACCTGATGATGGACCCCTGCCTTCCTTTACTTAGAGCTTTTACTAAAAATGGCTTAAAACTATGAATATGTAGCTCACCTGCTACACCTCAAAGATATTTTTCTCAAGGACCTGAAAGCCATTTTCAGAAATGCAATTATCAGAATGGATAGGGCCTCATCTCCCAGTCTCTGTGGGAGAATAGAATCTTAACTTCAATAATTTCCAGCAAACAGACACAGCAGGTGTAATCACATCAGCCCTGATCAGCTCTATGATTTTTCACTTCCCTGACTCTGCTCAGGCCCCTGCTCCTCCCTTTCCCTTTCCCTACTCCTTCCTTCTCCCTCTAAAACAGGCGGTCACCTCTGCACAAATTGACGTTGAGTTCCATCCACACAGGACTATCTTTCCTATTTCAATAGTGCGTTACTGATTTAAATCTGTCCCTATCATTTTAGTGTCCAGCTTTGTGTCTCTCTGGCAGGACCAGTTGTTAAGCCTCAGTGTGTCTGTTTTAGGGTGGTGGGACTATACTCATTAGAAATCATTAGGAAAACCATTCTCTCTGTTTCTGAAAAGAACAATCCCTGCACGTTGCCATGAATAAATGTTTCATAAAACTTTGCTAGGAAGCGATTCTGATTTATGAATTCCACACTAAACCATCTAAGTACATCTGTTATGTACATCATAATGGTGACTCTCTGGGTAATGATTTCTTAGAATCACAAATGATGGATAAATTCCCGGCAATTTAAGCCCTGGGAGGGGTGTCCTGGTGATTGCCCATTATACTCCAATGCTAGGTTTTACTGTGGCTTTTGTTGTTTCCCTCTATGCCACAGAATCTGGAAGTGCGATCTTGTGTGGGGGCTGAGAATTGCTATCCTAAGAGGAATATTTCTGTATGGAATTGACAGTGCTCTCTTGTCTTTAATTTAGTGTTTTGCAATAAGTTTCAAAAATGATTAAAACTGCCTTGTAAAGAAGACAGGAGAGGGAATAGAGCTTGCATTAAATTCTAGTTCTGGAGTCTCTTATAAGGCGTGGTGTTGGAAGGACTGACGTAGGATCATACCTCTTCCCTCTCATCTCTCACCTTTGACCTTTCTCATACCCCTTAATTGGAAGTTGCCTGAACATGGCATGTACTGCGTTTCCAAGGCTTTATTCTTTCTGGACATTCTAGTCTTTTTCCTCTTAGCTTTTAACTGTCTGATGAACTTTTGACCTCCTTCAGAACCAAGTTTGAGCCTGACTCTGTTGTGAGGCACTGTCCAGCGCTCTTCTCCTCCAGCTTCTGTCTCGGTACCCGCCACTTGAGCACACTCCTGGTTCAGGCAGTGTTTGTATTTCTTACTATACATCACTTCCCACGTGGCGAGGAATACGCTATCCCTAATGTCAGATATTCTTTCTGGCACAAACTAAAACCTTGATAAGTGTTTATGAGACAAAAACTGAAGCTCTTATTGTTACCAGAGATTAACTGAACTGATCTTCAAGACTGTAATCAAAGAAGCAATTGATATAACCAAAGCATTTGTACTGCTATAATATTCTGAAATTAAAAAACAAAGAAAGATTATAGTCAGCAGCTGAGTTTTAACTTTTCTCTCCTTCATATAATACATATGAACATGCGTGTGTGCATACTGTCTTCCCTAGATTTCATAAAAAGTGTATAAAATTCTGAAAAATACACTAGTCTGATCACAGGCTCCCATCCCCTCGGGCCTGGAAGCATTGAGATGGGCTGCAGGAGGAGGTGTGGGGAGGGAGAACTTACATTTTGCAGCTGGACGTGACTCTTCACCAAGTTTTCTGACTTTGTCATTGTGTTGGATGCTTTGAGACTGTAGTTTTTACCATTTTGTGGCACTTTGAGCTGCTCTTGGATTTGTTTAGCTTGTTTCCTGTGGGTATAAATAAATACGTGTGTAAATATTTGCATAAATTCGTTCTATTCTGAGGTTTATACATTCTCAACATCTTGTATTTGTTATTTGCTAAATCAACTCAGTGAACAAAGAGAGTTCTCTTGTTTTCAATCCCACAAGAAATACTTGCAATTCAGAAAGAACCTGCTAACAAACCATTACCATCCAGGGATTCACACTCAATAGTGCTTCAAAGACAGAAACATAATGTGCTGCCCTGCCCACTCCCCAAGCAAGAGGCCCTGTTATAACCCGATGTGCTCAGCTACAAAGAATTGGAAATGCTACTGAGAAGTCATTGCAGGAAAAATTCAAGGGTCGGGTCTAGTGGCTGCATGCAACACATTTTGCAAAATCACATTTGTGTTTTTACAATTCAAATTGTTTAGCTTAATTGCACGGCTTGCATACATGCAGTAATGTGTATATTTTCTTTGTTTTGTAGACTAGAAATAGCTCATTTATTGTTTCCAAAAATTCGAATAACAAAAATATTTATTCTTTTTGTTAAAGAGTTAAAAAACGTTTAATTCTTAAATAGCTAGTAATGACTGATTAGATGTGCTATACATCATTTTAAGTACCTTACATGTATCAGTGAATATATTGTTTGCAATAATTCTATGCGATGAGGCAGTAAGATTATACTTGAAGCCCAAAAAGTGGCCTGTAAGATGGAGTCTGAGACGCTAAGCTGAAGCAGCACAGCTGACCTAGTCTGCTCTGACGTCCCACACACCGTCCATGAGTATCTAGTTTCCCCTTGACTGTGAGGATATTTACCTGGCGAGACTAGAGGAAGCAGTCACACAGAGACGACAGGTGTTGGGATCTTGGCAGAGTAAAGGTTACTTTGATGATACGATGTTTCCTTTTGTGATTCTCTTACATATTTTGTTAAAACGAAAATTACCTTTCTGTTGTTTAAATATTTTCCACTACTTAGAATAAAGACGACTTTGACGTGACTTGCTATCGAAATAAAGTTATTTTGATAAGTTTAAAAATAAAGTTAAGATTTTCTAAATTTGTTTCCTCATGCTTCATTGTAAAAATTATTAGAATCGTAAGAGAGGCAGAACAGTCTTTGAAAGGCTGGTTCCTGCTGGCCTTCGTGTGATAAGGTTTGATAGACCTAATCCCCATCTCTGCATCTGGGTGACAGTGATAGGCGACCAGGTGACAGTGATAGGCGACCAGGTGACAGTGATAGGCGACCAGGTGACAGTGATAGGCGACCAGGCCCTCTTTCTCTGGTAACATACCTATTTAATCGGTGAGAACTGAGGTATAGAGAAGCTGAACCATTTTTCCAGGATCACACAGACAGTAAAGGACAGAGCATGGATTTTAACCCAGCCAATCTGGCTGTGTGCACCACACTCACCACTGCCAGCCAGACTGCCAAGCGGCTCAAAGTTCTCACAGTTTCTAAAAGCAAGGGCTGAAACTTGGTTTTGGACTCCAAGTAAAGTGCTCCTGCCTGCACATGTGGAGTGACTCTTGTTTGGGTCATTTGGTGCCTCTACGAGATGGGTGACCAACCACTGCCTTATTAGCAATTCTGGCCCAGGAGTTTTACAGAAAATTACACATCAGCCTAAGACCAAAACAAAACAAAGCAAAAAACCAAAAGCTTTGCAGTGTCAACCTCAGTAACCAACAAGGAGAGAGACTAAAATAAAATGACATTTACTTGGCAACAGGCACTGCGATGGAAATATGAGTGCCGTAGTAGACTATGGGTATTCCAGGAGATGAAGAAAAAGAAGAAGGATTATGTAGCTGTTTTGAGATAACCACCCATAGCTATAAGGATCAATAACAAGGATGGCACCAGTTTAAGGTTGGACAGGCAGTTGCTGGAAAGATATCCTTGCAGAAGTATTTTTTTTTCTTGTAAGGTTATGATGCCCTTTGTGCAATCTTGACATTTTTGCCAAGTCTTTTGTGATAGTTCTTGTTATCAGGTACTAGTGCATTAGGATCCTCCCTTCCTGACGTTCCCTGACCCTAGCACAATGACCCCTTTGAATTTTGCTTTTGCTCTGAGATTCCTGTCAAGGAAAGGGCCCTTCATGTAGTGCAGGCATAGTCTTCTGCACAGCTTTCTGCAGTGAGCTTCTCCACCAACAGAGCATGGGCTCACGTATCATCACCAGTCTTGCTACCATAAGGCCCTCCTAGACGTCTTTGAGCCTGAGTCTCCTCATCTATGAGTGGAGCTCACAAGAACTCTCTTCCAAGGATACAGTAGTAACCACACGTGAGAGGCCGTGCAAAGTGTTCCTCTCTTTCTCTTTTCATCACACAGTAAGTTCAGCCTTGTGGGCAGATGCTACAGAAGAATTCTAACACTGGCCCAAAGATAAAAGGAAAGATTGAACTAATTACATCTTCACAAGCAAGTCACCAGCATTTGCTGCAAGATTTGGAAGCTTTGAGCTTCATTACCCCTTTTGAATTTACAACGCCAGTGTGCTGTAGCTCTTTTTGTTAAAATATTGCTTTTATCTTTTCCATTATTTGGAGGACTTTTATCTCTAACATTCTTATTTGCTTTAATCCAGTTGTAATAATCTATTTACTTCTTTACAGCTAATCTGTAGCCTATTGTTAAAAATAAATCTATCATATCAGCATTTTAAGAAGCACATTACAGCCACGGAATTCGATCAGGGATTCATAAATGAAGCGGATGGTAAGTTGGGAGGTTCGAGCTGGGCAAATCACTCTGAAGCATTTAGAGCATGGAGTCTCCTAAAAATTAACATACTGAAACACTATTAACACTTTCCAATAATCCAATTCAGGGTGTTAGAACTACAAACTTTTAAAGCTATTTTCCTCATAGAAATATCTGAGAGTTGGCTGGGTGTGGTGACTCATGCCTGTAATGCTAGCATTCTGTCGAGCTCAGCAGATTGCGACCAGTCTGAGCAAAGCAAGACCCTATCTCTACTAAAAATAGAAAAATTCACTGGGTGTGGTTGTGGGCACTTGTAATACCAGCTACTCAGGAGGCTGAGGCAGCAGGATCACTTGAGCCCATTAGTTTGAGGTTGCTATGAGCTAAGCTGGGGCCACGGCACTAAAGTCTGGGCAGCAGAGCAAGACTCTGTCTCATTAAAAAAAAAAAAAAAATCGGATAGCATTTCATAATTCCTTTTAAAATTGTCATTCCTTTTTAGCCTCTTCTCACTCGAGTCCTGAGCCATTAATATTCTGGAATATATGGACTTTTCTTTCTGAGTCTGCCTCCTTCTCTCTGCCACCCCTTTCCTCAGTGATCCTTCTTCTCTCACAAGCACATTCTCTTTTGCTCTTTCCCCCTTCCCTCAGCACAGAGGAACGGAGGAAATGATCGGCATTGCACACTGGAACACTACTATCCCAACAATGTCAGGGTTGGCACCTGACAGTTGATTGAGTTTCAAGTTTCTCTGGCCCAATGCATCAGAAAGAAATGAGGAGTAAGTTGTGGAACAGCAACCATGCCGGTAGACCTTATTTGTAGTGTCGCAGATTGGGTGCCTGAGCAAGCGATCTTGAGATGGAGACGGCACACGGGAGTTTTAGTAGGGAAGGCGCTTGGTAACTGCAACTGTGGACAGAATGGAAGGGGAAGGATACGGGACTGGGGAGAGAGAGAAGTTGGGATGTGACCGTGCTCAGTGATGATTCAGCAACCCCTCAGGGAGCTCTGAAGCTGGCACAGTCTTGCACCCAAGCTGGGGCAAAGGTGTAGGTCTTCAGAGCCCCCACAGGAAGCTGTCATTGGAGGCGGGAAATTTCAGAACAGCACACAAGTTTGAAAAAGGCGACTATCTACAACTGCCTGCTGGCAACTCTGGGACTAAGCCCTACATGGCAGAAGAGGATCATAGCAGTGCACCAGGGTGTCGAAATGCCTGTCATGAAGAGGCTTCTCCTACGATTTAAAATCTCTTCCTTCACAGGGTGACAACCTATAGTCATGGGGAGGTTGTCACCATATCTGTGTTTTACTGGTAACTCCAGTTCTACTTTCTCTTCCTCTGTTCTCCAGTTGTTACAATATCCATCCCAGGTTCTGCCTCCCGGAACGTCTCCCCTATCCCAGTTCTACTGTCAGAGCTGAATCCTGTGTTTCCAAAGTCTACTGAGAACTCTTATATCCAGCCTCTTCCCTCTTACCTATATAAGTTGAAAGTCAAGGGAGAACCCAGAATAATTTTTAGTTGCCAGGTGAGCCATATCAGCTAGATTTGAAAAGCTCAATTAATAGTTCTCTTAAGTATGTATAAGAACACTAAGGTTTATTGTGGTTGATGAGAAAAGAATTTCTTTTACTGTATCTTTCACAATTTGGTGGTGGTGGTGGGGGGGTTTTCAGTTAACTCCACCAGAAAATCCTCTAACATTCAAGAAAGCATTCCTCACTTCTACCTAATGTTACCTACCTTCAAACTTTCCTCAGACATATAATTTGCTGTAATACTCCTTCTAATGAAATCATACCATACCAAGGGAATCTCCATACCATAATGGAATGGAGAAAGGATCAAGTGGCAGGATCTGAGTGATTATGGGAAGTAGAACATAAATGACCAAGAACGTGTGAGCTTTGAAGGAAGCCTCAATTCTCTCTGAGCAGAAACTTGTATCCCAGTATACCAAGGGATATTGAAGTGGGTTTATTTGGATACCAATGACCAATGATAAATAAACCTTAGAATCCTGAAAGACCTGAGGCTTCCAAACTAAAGTCAACAAAAGCATATATATATAAACTTTCTTATTTTATGAGTAAGGGGAGGACAAGTCACTGTTCTATTCTCCCCAATGTTTTGGGAAAGGAACTTGAAATCCAGAAATTCATAAAACAAACTTGTTCCAGGATGTTCCAAAAAATTATAATGCTTTCAGCAATATAAATGAGGGGCGTGGTGTGGGCTGTGGCTTTTATCTCAAGTAAAGAAAAGTAAAAAAAGGGCCATCATACTGGAAGGAGAGAAAATACGTATTCTACGTCTCTGATGAAAAATAGAACTTGAGTAAGAAAAAGGTTTTAATTTTTGTTGTTATTTTTACACTACATTTGTTTATTGACTGATTGAGTTCTTCAAATAAAAATGTGTCCCAGTCGGCAGACAGAATGACAACAATATTCCAGTCACTGCTCCACTCTCAGCTTAGTCCTCTGAGCCTCCATAATGAATCTGCTGTTGAGCAGTGTTTCCATTAAACATCAGACCCCTCGCTGAGCCCCAGGAGATGAAGCTGGTCTCAGAGCCTAGAGAGCAAGAGATTGACGGCCCTGAAGATGGAAGTCCCTAGTCATCCAGCTGTTCTCTGCTCTCTTGATTACCATAATCAGCCTTTCCTTTAAATGTGGTACTACAACTACAAATTATACTCTAAAAATACGTGGTTAACTGTTTCTTCATGGTAATTTGCTTATTGTTAAATACACAATTTCTTTCTCGTACATAGCTCTAGTGAGGAGACCCTTCTCACGCCCTGTTGGCTGTGATTACCCATCTTGGGCTCTAGCACAGGTCTTAACCTTGTAGCTACCCAGTTCTAGTACAGAAAACCAGTGGGTGTTAACCTCAGCAAGACTTCATTGAGTATTTACTCTTTTAAACATCGTGCTGTGCCTTTTACAGAATTATCCCATTTAATCCTTAACAAAATCATATAAGGTAGATTTTCTTTATTGGTTCCTATGTTACCACAAAGAAAATTGAGGCTAAGAAACATGATGTAATTTGTCCAATAACACATAACAAGTAATTGACAGCCGAAAGATTTGAATCCAGGTGTGGCTGACCAGTGTACAACCCTGATCATTAAGCCAGATGGCCTCCCTAGAGAACAAAGTACTGGAGGCTGGCACCAGAGAGGGTAATTGGGAGCTCACGCTGAGCAGTTTAACCATCTAGGAGGAAGACTATGTGAGCCTATGGGGTATAGAGGTTTAGAGGATGTAATTTAAAGCAGAACTGCTGAGATCCAAAGACCTTATCTGCAATTTCCTACCTTGTGCCTTTGACAAAATAATACTTTAAAATAAATTCTGATATTATTTGAAAGATGCTGCAGCAATGCACAACTTTGATTGTTGTGGGGACGAGGAGTTAACACACAGAAAGCCTAGCCTGCCTGGCAAAGAGTGAGCGCTCAAAAAGAGACAGTTACGACCGTCACAGTCAAGAATCGCCTTGGCAATGTGACAGCTAATGTCATTGACATCCTGGGTAGGACTCTGGAATTTAAACAAATGCATTAGGTAAAAAACTAATTAAATCTGAAAAGATAAACTTTATTTAGTAGTATAAGATCAATATTGTTCCATTGATTATGACAAATGCACCGTAATTATATGAGATTAGTGACGTGGGAAGCTTGCATTTGGGGTATAGAGAAAATCTCTGTAATATTTTTGCAGTATTTCTAAATACCTAAATTGATTCTGAAATTGTATATTAAAAAATAATAGTTACTAACTGTGGATTCAAGTCTGAGTTTTTACTTTTGAGGATCAGAATCACAGCTCTACTTAAAAATCAACACATAAGCAGGTATTATAAAGTATAGTTGAAAACGGATACATTTTTAGAAGAGCAAATGGGTAAAAAAATATAGGTCCAATGAAAAGCAATTTTGCCTTGGATTTCAGACAAGCTGTAGGAGAAAATCTGTGCCAACTACTTAAGGCACAAGAAACCATGGGGCCAACATTTTTATCTGCATTTCTTATTTTACGCACAGATTACATCATTTCCATAAATAAAATATGTCTGTGGGAGTTCATTTGGAAAAAAAAGCACCCACATACATACATACCTATACGTTTGTTATACAAAATACATGTGTATATATTTTAATTCTACTTTTTAGTTAATAGTAAGCACTTTCGTCTACACAGGTCTAGTTTCTTGGCAAGGAAACTTTAGGACATAGTCAAATGTGCATTCCAGCCAGCGAACCAAAGTGTATTTTTTAGTACTCACATTTCACATTTGTCATAAACCATTCTGAGTACCAGGTCAAAATAGTATGAAAGAAAAATTGCGATCTTTTTCTGTACACTTTCTCAGAAAAGGGTAATAATGCTTGATAATGTTGCAAAAGAGACCATTGATACAGGCACATAATTAATTGGTGCAGAGAACACAGCATGTTCATGACCACTGAGAGGCAAGATCGCTCTGTGCATGGAACATGAACTGTGCACACACACAGTGACCTGCATGCCCGTGCCTGGACACCCTCACCACAGTCTACAAAACATAAGTCGCTTGCAGAAGGTGGATGTGCCCATTTGCAAAGGATCCCTTTACTTAGAGCAGACTGAAAACTTAAAGAGAGACAAAGTACCTTCTCTGAGAAGTAACCTTTTAATACTTGAGAGAAATGGTCTTACTTGCTTTTGAAGTAGAATGCTGCACAGAACATGCCCACGATGACAATTCCAAAGATGATACATGAAATTGACAGCACCTGCCTTTGATAAACTTCTTCACTCTCTGTGGATTTGAAAGAAAGAATTAGAATGGATGCTAGCAGGGCACAGCCGTAACAACCTTCATCCTTGTACTTCTGAGCTGGCTGGAGTCTTTCAAAGGCAACTTGTTTTTGTTTCTGTCATGAACAGGAAAAAATAGGAGGAAGTTATTTAGATTCAATTTCTTGGCAAAGTTCTACAGAATAACTAGTTGCTATTTTTTTCTTCTTTATACCTTTATGGCTACATTGCAGCTCATGTGCAGATGCTGCAGTTATAACTCTTATTATCAAAAGACATTCCATGACTTTGGGACTTAATGGGGATATATACTTTTGAAATTATGATGGTACCCAAATTAATCCACTAGAGAAACTAATACACATGGATCTCAACTTTCCTGTGCTAGTGATGTCTTCCGATTTAGTTTTTGTAGGGCCAATGCCTCTATGTTTTCTGATTTTGAGTGAGCCCTTGGCCCTCAGTTTCCCATTCATTCTCCTACTACTAAGATTGATATCACTCATCGAAAAAAAAATTCAGCATGCATGTGAATATTTTATTCACCCCCTCTGTGACCTCCTCAATAATCAATGGTCTGGCACAGTAGAACTGTGCCTCCATTACCAAGGTAATATGTTATAGCTTGTTAGAGCAAATAATTCAGAAACAAATATTTCACCTTTTAACAATTAGCATTTATACTCCTAGATCTTTTCTCTGAAATATGTTGACCAAAACAGATCTTCCATCTCATCAAAACCTGTGTATCCATAGAACCTGGCAATTTGTCTCTATTGATTATCTTTATTTTTCTGTTTATATAGCACAGAGACCATCATCCATGGTTACGGCTATTGACTCTCTCATAAATACCTTCAATGCACATGTTACTTCTCTTCTAGTTTGGCAAAATTAATGTATATGAACCAAAGAAAGTTTCTTCTCCATATCTCCACCTTGAGCACCTTGGATTGAGGATGATAATTATAATTATATCTAAACATATATGGACAACTGATTTTTGACAAAGGTGTCAAAGTAATTCAATGGTCAAAGAATCTTTTCAAAAAATGGACTTGCAACAATAGTATAATCATATTCACAAAAATGAACCTTGACCCTAATCTCATGCTATATAGAAACTAAACAAGGAAGATAGACCCAAATGGAAAATTTCAAACTATTACAAATTTCTTTGCATTAGAAGAAAGCATAGGAAAAAAAAAAAAAAAAACTTCAGTTTCATAGGAGTATAATCATAAAAGGAGGCTAAAGGAGAAGAACCAATGTGTTATTTAATGTCTCTTAAGTAAAATACAAAGATTTCTTAAGTAAAATACAAAATACACAACTATAAAAAGTAAAAATTATTAAAATGGATTTCATCAACGATATCAACATTTGCTAGTCAAAGACATGATTACAAAAAACAAAAGGCAAAGCTCAGTCTTGGGAAAACATTTTTAAGCACATATTCAACAATGGGCTTGAATCTATAATATATACAAATCACTTACAACTCAATAATAAGCAATCTAATTAAAAAATGGGCAAAATATTTGAACAGACACTTTCCCAGGATGTATGGATGGCAAAAAAGTACCTAAAAAGATGTACAGTACCATTTTTTTTTTTCAAGACAGAGTCTCACTATGTCACCCGTGGTCGAGTGCCATAGTGTCACAGCTCACAGCAACCTCAAACTCTTGGGCTTAAGTGATTCTCTTGCCTCAGCCTCCCAAGTAGCTGGGACTACAAGCTCCCACCACAACACCCAGCTAGCCAGTATCATTTTTTATAATGAAATTGCAAATTAAACTATAATGAGCTATGGCACTCCACTAGAATAGCTAAAATTAAAGGTTTCCCACATTTAAATGTTGAAAAGGATGTGGATCAACTAGAATTCTCATGTACGTCTGGTGGAAGTGTAACCTTACATGCCACCATACAGAATAGCCTCACAGAAAGTTAAACATACACCTATCTTATGATCCAGCCATTCCATTACCCAAAACTAATGAAACCATAATTTCTTCATGTACCCAAATGCTCATTGAACTTTATTTGCAATAGTCAAAAAAAAAAAAAAGAAATAACCCAAGTCCCAACAACAGGTAAAGGGATAATCGAATTATAGTATATCTATACAACGGAATAGTACTCAGCATTAAAAAGAAATGAACTATTGAAGTAAACATCACTGTGGAAGAATCTCAGAGTAATTAAGATGGAAATAAGTCAGATGATAAAAGGATGCATGTTGTATAATTTTAGTTATGTGAAATTTTAGAAAATGGAAGCTCATGTACTCGTTTAATGACAGAAAACAAACCTGTGGTCACTTGGGGCCAGGAGTAGAGAGGCGGGTGAAAGAGATTAAAAAATGACAGAACTTTTGGGAGTTATAGACATATTTTTATCTTAAGCGTAGGGGTGGTTTCACAGGTAAATATTTAGTTAAAGATGTAAAAATGAATACTTTGCAAGTAAGTGGTTCATCTTCGATTCATTGTAGCAGCAAAAATATTAATCCTTGGAGAATATAGAGGATAATAAAGAGACTATATGTAATATACAGAATATTAAATAACACATTGGTTCTTCTCCTTTACCCTCCTTTTATGATAACGCTCCCATGAAAAGTTCTGCATGTATCAGGCAACATAAACGTTATAATGCATAAATTGAATCATGTACAAATCTATTTATGTATGGATTGCGTGTGCACGTGGGTGTATTCTATTTTTTAAATATCCATATTACACATATAATAATATCTTAAACTCTTGATCTAAAAACCTGCCTGATGAGGCACTGCTCACCCTTACAACCACTCTCCTGTTCTCTTAATTTCATTGACCATTTAACTCCCTATAGTCTGGACATATATTGTTCTCTTTCTCTCTCTAGAATATTATTCTCCTACCCGTCTTAAAAAAAAAATCACTCACATATTTTAAAATCTCAAATGAAATGCCATTAGCTCAAGAAGTCTTGCACTGAAGTATAAGCTCCAGTAGTTCGGGGGACCACAATCTTCCTGGATTTATCATTTGGCTTTCCACTGGTTCCACCCAACCTAGTACAGCAGTTCTCACATTGTTCACACCCCAAGACTTGTTATCTTAATGAATCAAAATGTCTTTCTTTCTGTCTTTACAGGGCTTTCTGACTTACGCCGCACATGTTACATCAAGTCTCATCCTTGTATGTACTTAAGGTTTAGAATCTTAACCCTCCTTCGTATCACATTCTCCTAGGTCTCAGACAAATATTTCTTTTCTGAGTGGACCACCTGCCTGTGACCCCACCCATTTCTGAACACCATACCTGACTTCTCAACTTGGGGCTGCCATGGTTTGAATATATCCCTCAAAGTTCATGTGTTGGGAACTTAATTATAACAGCATTAATGAGTAGAGTTTTTAAGAAGCAATTAGGTCATGAAAACTCAGGAAGAAATTAATGCTGTTATCATGGGAGTGAGCTGGTTGTTGCAGGATTGCATTAGTTACCACGGGAACAGGCTCCTGATAAAAGGATGAGTTTGACCTGTTTTCCTCTCTATCCAGAGTGCTCCCTTGCTCATCCTCCTTCTGCTGTGGGATGACCTTCCCCAGAGACCAGTTCCATGCTCTAGGACTCCCCAGCCTCTAGAACTATTAGTCAAATAAACTTCTTTTCATATAAATTGCCCATTCCATGGTATTCGGTTATAGCAGCAGAAAATAGACTAAGTCAGGGGCTTCCCTGTCCACATCTTCCCATCCCCCCATCCTCCCTGTGATTCTGCACTCACAAAGTCCTCCTCACAGGACAAAGAGCCATAAGGAACATGGTGAAATCACTTGTCTCCTGGCCTCGAAGGATACCGGCGCATGATCTAGTGATACACAGATCCTCTCATTGTTCACCTTTGTGTTGGATTTGTTGTGTTCTTAACACACTCTTATGTCTGCAGTGGTGTGCTGCCTGGTTTTATGGTCTGGACTAGCTTTGCTTGGTGCTGATGTCAAGACATAGTCAAAAACCAAACTGTGAGTTGCCCCATGGATACAGAATTCTCCATACCATGACTTTCTGGATTGTTTCTAAAATACCCCAGAAGCCTCTAGGCTGAGCTGAACAGAGCCTATGCCTGGTGATGATCCTCTATCAGCAGAGTTAATTGCAGGACTTTTACTGTTAATTAGTCAAAGGAGTACCAGGCAAAACAAACCTGGATGAAAGCCCAAATCCCGTTTCCTTTTGTTTGTTTGTTTTTCTGAGACCAGCCATTATATCCTCCCTTTAAATGTGATTGCACATTTTATGGTACTTTTTCCTGTGGAAGTGCAATGGGAACCAATATTTTAGAAGGAATATTCTCTCTTCTCACTCTTCTTAGACTTTATTTTCATTTCAATGACTTTATGCAGGCTAGAGTATTAGGAAACAGAAAGTAAACCTAAAAAGAAAATCACATTATCAGCCAAGAGCAGTGGCTCACACCAGTAATCCTAGCACTCTGGGAGGCCAAGATAGATAGATTGCCTGAGCTCACAAGTTTGCCACCAGCCTGAGCCGGAGAGAGACCTCGTTTCTAAAAATAGCCGGGTGCTGGGGTGGGTGCCTGTTGTCCCAGCTACTTGGGAGGCTGGGGCAAGAGAAACACTGAGCCCAAGAGTTTGAGGTTGCTGTGAGCTATGACAGCACAGCACTCTACCTAGGGCAACAAAGTGAGATTCTGTCTCAAAAAAAAGAAAAGGAAAGGAAAATAAAAGAAGACAACATTATCTACATTTCTGAATGAGTGGGGAGGGACAAACATGTACCTTAGCAGACCTGGGTTAATATTTTAAATTTGGAAAGATTCAAATTAAAGGGATACAAAACGTGTCATCAAGACTTTGTTTGGGCATATTGTCATCTTACAAAATGTCATTTTTTCCACTCCCACATTCATAAGCTCATTAAATTTTTTCCAATTGAACTTGGAAACAGATAAATAGTAGTGCCAACTCCAAAGAATTCCAT